ATTACTTTTCCATTTTCATTTGTTCTTTTCAAAGCAGAGTACATTCATAACAAAAAAACTTTTTGTATGGTAAATAAATCTCCTCTCAAAATAACTGACATTTTTATTATTTGCTAAAACCAATTTTTTGCCCGAACAAGCTTAAGCTTAGCAAACACATTTAAATTAAACTTAGCTTGGGAGTTTGAAAGTCTTTGGTATAAAAACAAAGAAAATGTTCAATTTGAAACATTGAATGCTATAATCCACATATCTTTCCCAATTAAAATCTCTATTATTCTGACCTAATTTGAGCAATTTTGTTAACTGAATTGAAGTACTTTTTATAATGTTAAAGCGATAATTGTCGCACTCGTTCGCTGAGAGCTCCTCAAATTGCGTATACGCCTGGGATGGCAATGTGAAGCAGACGAGGTCGCCAAGTGCGTCGGCAGGAAGTGCAAGAAGTGGCCACAATTGCATTTAGCCGAACTAAAAACATTTACGACTGGCAAACACTGCGTGGCAGAATGAGCGGAAAAGGTTCCGCCGGCGGTGCAGACAAGTCGCTCCAGATGGCACATAACAGACACTTAAATGGCAAAAGTTAAAATTACAATTAAACGCAAAGTGAGAGACCGAGAAGCCGTGCAAAGAGTTCTTGCGACACTGAGGAAATAAGTGGTTGGCTAACGCCATTTGTTCCTATTTATTATTTATATGCAGTATTTTGAAAATACTCAAATATTGGTTTGTAACTAGTAAAATGCAGGAACTGAAATTTAAAGAAATTCAGATTTATTCTATCTATAAAATTAATAAAAATAATAAAAGGACCAAACGATAGAGGCAAAAGAGCATGTATGTATATTTTAGACGTTATTTTAATAATAAACTTTATAATTAATTGTAATTTTTGATGGCCTATTAAATCCCTTAATCTATATGACCGCCAAATCATTGTGAATAGAAACATATTAAATTTGCTATCTGTATATGGCTCCCTGGACGGCATTCAGCATGGTCATCGGATATCCTTCGGCTGCAGAAAATGCAGAAAAAGGGCAGCATTGCTCTGACAAATGCAAACAACTCGACGAAGTGAAGCCCCACGGAGCTGGGTAAATTGTTGGCTTAACAAATTGCTAATCCACTTTCACCCTGGTTGCGGAATGGATGAGGGAATGCATTTGAATACTTCTCAAATCCTGAAAGTAGTGGGAAACCAGAGGAGTTGCTTTGCATCCCATTCGAGACTATAGCCCCGGAAAAAGACCCTCTTCTCAAACTTTTTTGTGTACGTCAAAGGCAGCATTTATCTGATATGATTAAGTTGCAGTTACATAAAACTGAAATGCATATTAAGTGCATTAAAAGTTTGAAATTAAATCGAGTTGCATTTGCTTAAACTTTCAGGCCATAGGTGTTGCTCCAGATTTGCTCGTAATTTAATTTTCGCAAGCCAAAAGACCGAGTTGAAATATTTAAATTAAATTGTGGTACGAGTATGTGCACTGCTTTCATCACACTCAAAGGTCACTTCACTTGGCTTTCAAGAAAATTAGTTTTAAATTAATTAAAAGATTTTCCCATAACTGTGCGCTGTGGTTCTTGATGGCGTTGGAAAAGTGAGGCCAGGCAGAGCGAAAGAATGGCACAACTTGGATAATCATCACGACCGCACCGCCCACTTTTTCCGAGCGGCTGGGCGACCACCGCCGCCCCCAAGAACTCAGCTCACTTTTTAATAGTTCGCAGACCACGAAAGGCTATGTGAGTTTAAACACTGTTACAAATACTTTTCCGGAGGCGGAATGTGTGCGCAACTGGAATTACGCAGCAGGCGTAATCCGGAAAACTTCCCGCCGTTCTTTTCTACTTTTATGTAGCCTTAAGTATTTATTTGCATTTCAACTTTGTGCCGTTCTCCTCTTTTGCAAAGCAATTATTTCTGCAAAATTAAGCATTTTAAATTACACATCTAGTGTTTAACTAAAGACAGCACTAAGTTACAAAAAGAAACTACATATAAATAAAATAACTACTTGATACTTCATAGCCGGATACAGTAACCCGAAAAATGTTATTTCGCCTCTCCTAGCGGAAATGAAAAAATGTAAAAAAGTAACCAAGCGGAAATTGTAAAATACATACAAATATTATAAATCCATTTAAAGTTAATCAACAAATCTTCTTAAGTAACTGGAGACAACTCAGGGTCGTCAAATTACTAAATAAATATTTTTGTCAGCATTTGTATGTTTGCATGTTTGCGTTGCAAAAGGAAATTACCCCGTGTGAAAAGGAGTTGGGTTTTTGTGGGTCCTATGACCGCCATCAGCTGTTGTACTTTCATCCCCAATGTTCACCGCTCGCTGTCAAAAGAAGTTAACAAAACTCCACAAAACGCTGGCTGACTTTACCTTTTAAAGTGTTTTCTTACAAAGTGAACTTTAGTTACCATTTATTAGAAAAGTTCGCAAAATGCGGCCACCTTTTGTGTACATTTTTTGTCTTAATAAGTGGTTAATTATAACTTTTAATGGAAGTATATTTTTTCTACCCGCAGAGAATATTATAATGTCAGTCAAAAGAAGGGCACATTCCCGACCCTATAAGGTATATATGTTTTTGATCAGCATCACCAGGAGAGTCGATCTAACCATCTGTCCATCCTCCCGTCTGTCCGTTTCTGGGCAAACTAGTCTCTCAGTTTTAAAGCTATCTGGATGAATAGACTCTTTCTATTGTAGGTAGTATTTAAGTCGGAAAGCTTCCAAAAGAACAATCAAAAAGAAAAATTAAAAAAAATTATATTATATTATTATATTTTAATTTTGTCGTTTTAAGGAATATCTAATTTTTGTAATACCTGAAAGGGTATATCAAATTCGGCTAGTTTTCTTTCTATCTTATTTTTTAAAATCTGATAACATAAAATGGGTTTTGGGAGTAAGCCTTATACAAATATATCTGCTCGAGAGGAAATCGTTAATTATATTTAGTTTAATGTGGTATTCCAATCTGGTAATATTCACTTGTAATACGTTATTATCTTAGCAATGTTCTACTAAAAAGTAATGCGGTTACTTAGAACTTTTGAGCTGTTAGTTTTTGGGACCATGAGTTAATAGTATTATATGGTGTAGTTGAGTATACCTTATAATATTAAGTATTAAACAAAAGTTGAATGAGTTTTCAATATACACAATATTGTTTAGTTACTAAAAAATGCATGGCGGTAGGGAAAAACATATGGGGTTATCCCTAGCTATATGGGCAGTCCGCATGGGGTTGTTTTCACCGGTTTTAGCTTGTTGCGGCGGGATGGTATGGATGCCAACCCCCGAGGAACTCCGGCACTCTGCTCCGCTCTCCAAACTCTACCTGGCCCCTGATTAATTTAGTCTGGGTCTCTCACTTGGTTCTGTTTTCTTTTTTAGCCAGGTACCCACAGGGTATACCATGACATGTGTTCTGGTATAGAGTGGGTGGATGGGGTGGGGGTTGGGGTGGTTACTCTGGTGTCGAGGGGGTGGTGCATTTCTAAGCGAGTCGAATTGAATGCAACGAAGACCTGTGACATCAGACGTCCATGGTATATGTGCATGAACGTAATTAGAAAAACATCGGTGAACATGGGTTGTATAAAAGATAGCAAGTCCGAAAATATAAAAAGAGTAATTGCCAGAACTAACTGCAACTCACATGGAAATAGTTTTTTGTTGCCAGCATTGTTGCGAAACCGGATGAAGTTTGTTCTTTAAATTTAAGCTTGACTTATTGGGTGAATATTGTTAGCTTATTTCCGAAAAAACATTGCTGAGCAAAACTTGGAAACTGACTCAGTTATGTTTCGTTTAATATATTGGATTCTTTAAAGGCAGGAAGAGAATTTAAAATCATGCGTTGTTGTTAAATTATAATTAAGTTTATAAATTTGTCCAATTTTGTGTTATCCCTTAACCGCACTGCAAAAGTTAGTGTTTAAAATTAGACATGAAAAGAAGCCAGCTCGTACACCTTACGTCTGTCAGTCTGTGTAGCTATTATCGTTAAACCAAATCTAATGTCAGGCTCAAACGGAAACCAACCTAGCAGTCAAAGGATTCTAAGGAAATTAAAGAAATCTGACGGATTTCCATTGTCGGCTTTTCCGCTCTCAGTCTGCCTTGCAATTGACCACTTTTGTGCTTGACAAAAGGAGAGACGGGCCGACAAAAGGGAAATGCTTCACAAAGGAAATTCAATTTAATGGATTTTAAATGTTCAGCTTACTCGACCCTTCAAATACACCCTTATAAAACCAGGAATTTGTTTACCAATTATAATTATATTTATTTTTATTAAAGTGAAAGAAATTAATATTAAGTGATTTAAACTTAACTTTTATTCATTAACCACGTTGAGGAAAAAATGGAAAAACCAAATTAAAAATAACCAAAAGTAAGACTAAGAGAAAATGCAGTCGGGAAAAAGATGAGTAATATCGATCCATGTTTACGAATATATGAGATGTTAGCATGCAAGGTTTTTGTTTGGTAAACATTTAAATTAACTCAATCCTTTCTTTAAGCCTTGTAAATCTTGAGCACCCCTTAAAAAATATTAATACTGATTTAAAAAAACCATATTTCTTTTAAAAGTAAATCTTAGTGATTAATTAATATTTCCATTTAAATCGATCTCCCAAAATTCTTTCCATTTATATCGATCTCCCAAAATTCTTTCTGTTTTTACGCAACTTAGTTGAATGATTAATCAATTCGAACAAAGAGATTTATGTTGAAGAATGAGATTTTTATTTCTGAATGGAGTTGACAGAGAAAATGCAGCAGAGTTCCTTGTTGATTCTAGTTTTCCTTGGAATTGATTATCCCATACCTGTCGTCGGCAGTTTGGAAAAAACACCCCGAATCGCCTGCAATTTTTGAAACACCACCAAAAACGAGAGCGGGAAACCAAACCGCCAGACAGTCATAAAAAGGTTCTTATAACTGCAATGAGATCACTTCACTTACCAAACAGACAGATGATATAGTTCACTATATGATGCTTTTGATGAGTTCACTTAGCACTTAAGTATCTCTACAAAACCTTTTGGCTTAATCCGGAAAACTCTTGAGATTGGTTCAGAAATCGAAGCCAGACAAAGGCCGAAACACTCGTTATGGCCATTTGGAGGACCTTTGTTCACTAACGCTCGGTAAATTCAATTTCGACAATTTTCAAGTGACACTTGACGGCGGCACAATCGACGAGATACAATTGCATCCAATAGGAGCGATTTCCATGCGAAATATCTACGAAACGCGGAATAAAATCGAACCCGAACGGACGGGACCTTCACCCACGAACAGCGACGGCAACAGACTGACTGCCACGCGACTTTGAGCCACCGGCCAGAGCCAAAATAAAGCCACGAGCGCACTGCCGAGCACGAGGCGCCAGGACATAAGCAGGACTCAGCACTCCAAAGGACTCCTCGTGCAAGAAGCGAGAGGCGCACGCCACCGCTGGTGTGAGTTCTGCGCAGAGAGAGAGCAAGCGAAGGACGCACGGGGGTGGATTTCCCGCCTGCCGAGGGGGTGGCTCGGGTAGTTGGGTGGTTGGGAGGTTGGGTGGTTCGGAGGACATGTCATGTTGTGACGCCGTCTGCTGCGAGTTTTACTACATCCAGCCGGTTGAAAGGGGGTGGAAACGCTGTGTTGCCGGCCAGTTAAACAGTCGGCCAGCCGAACAATTCGGAGCAAATTAATCCCAAATCTGCATGCCTAAATCTGTGTGCCGCCTAGATTGATATTGGATTTGGGTTGTGAATTACTCGATAAATATTTTCCGAAAATTGTGTGAAACCACATATTGGATTTCGACTTCAAGTAAATAATTAGCGATATTTAATAAGTCAATGTAAAAAGAGGAAATATAAGTTGCACATGTCTTCTTTAATTGTTTGATGCCTAATCTGTAAGCTGAAATATGTGTGGTAGCTCGATTTATGTTCAATTATGTTCAAGCCCTTAACTAATTAAAACTAAGTTTTTATGCAAAAACGGAAATAAATCTTATATTCAATTTCTAATCCGTTTTAAATACTAAACTACGGATACTTTCCTAAGTCTGCAAGTTAACAAAGAGTAAAATAAATATAAATACATAGAGAAATAATGAAATTATTACACATCCTTTAATATTCCAACTTTACAATGTATTTAATTAGTTAACAGTGACGTTAGACATAAAAGGGTGTTTATTAAGATTTCTTCTATTCGTAAAGAAAACTTTTGATAGAAAAATAAACAAGGAAATTTCAAAAAATGTTCCCATAATGACATAATCTAAGCAAATCATAAACAAAACATAAATTTACCTTCAACTTAACACATTATATATTCAGAAAAGCAGGACATTTTATAAAGTAAAATCTTTAATGAATGAACACTAAATCAAGTCGGTTTACTTGCAATACCGATCGGCCTTCATTTTACTGCGTCTGTCCAAAAGTGTTTCATGCAGCGAGCCCTGAGCCTTAGCATCTTCGAGTTCTTTTACATCGTTTTGATTTATACGCATCTTCTTGTCTTGGAACTTTTGGAACTTTTTCCTAAAAGAAACAAAATGTACTCTTAATTATATTTGCTGGATCAAAGGTTTCAAAAACTTGTTGCAAACATTCTATTCAAAGATATAGCTTCGGTTAAACTTACACATAATTCTTTTCAACTTCGCCCAAGTCCCCCTTTTCTTCCTTGGGCTCCGTGTCGACGATGACATCCCTGGCTCCATTACTCCTCACTTTACAAATTTCATACTGTCCAACCTTCTTTCGCAATGCCACGCAGGCATCGTCTTCGGGATCGATTGACATAAAGTGTCCGGTTTCGGATAGCAGGGCCATTCGTTTTTCCTTTAAATTAAAATATGTATACTATTGATAAAGGGTTTTTAAAGTGAAAGTCGGTTACCTCAAACACTGGCTCCCACTGTTCCATACTACCCACAGCTTCGGAGCGCCCTGTTACCATTCCATCTTTTTCGATTTTCAAATATTTCCCATAGCCAGATTTAAAGGCTACCTTTCGGTCGTTAATGGGGAATGCAGTAAAAATCTCCTCTGGATCTGGACCGTCGCCAGCGTTGTGCGGGGCTCCCAGTGTAAAAAGACTGAAATATATAAAATTAAATAATTAATATTATTAAATCTGCTTGACCAGTGAAGGTAAAGGAATAAGGTAAATTTATAATAATAATTAGGTTTAGTGGTTAAAAAAAACAAGTATGGTTCTCAAGGTATGGGATTCCTGAATTAAAACATGTTTTTAAAATGTATAAAGTTATTTTCCAAAGGGATACCACAATTTCTTTTAAACGAAAGTCCATAAAAATTGGGTTAGAATTTGATTGGAGGAGCGGAGGATTATAGCACTATATATTCCAGAGATAAGATCCCTAACCATTTAGGGACTTCTTAATGCAGCAACGTCCGGTTTACTAACAATTTTACCAAATATTACCCATTATCCATGGCTTTTAAGTAGCACCGATCGCCAAACTCGATGGACACAGTGCCTGTGATATCTGCAGCAGTCTTTGATGTCCACCAGCCGCCGTGCTCCACTGCATCCTCGTCTACCACCACCTTGGGCTTCTTGGAAGATCCTGCCTCATCCTTTTCCTTCTTGCGTTTTTTGCTTTTTCTGAAATTTAAGATTTTAAACAACTACACACGGATAATGTTCAATACTTTACTCACTTGTGTTTTTCTCCCTTTAAAACTAGTTTTTTTATGCGCGCATGGTCGTAATCAGACATTGTCACCGGTAAATAATTATAAATAAAATATATAATTCAATAAACGATTTATACATGCGATAAATAATCCCAAATTGTGTTGTTTTGGTTTTTTCTAAGGCAACAGTATGCCCAAGGGCTTACTATTAGAAATATACTAAAGCACATTTTTATCGATTAAGAAATACCGAAAAAAATACCATAAAAAAATTAGCCAGGGCTCCAAAGCCACATTTTCAAACAAAATTTAAATTGTTCATTTACTGTACGAATCGTTCAATAATTACAGCCACTTAATAACTCCACCACCTTTAAATTTAAATTATTGTACACTGCTTTTTTGTCACATTAATACTTTTATTCTTGAGGTTTAATATTTGCTTACAACAAAGAAAAATAATCACGACTGCTTGTGTTGACTAAACGCAAAATTGTACACATGTTTCTGTTCAAATAATTTACCTTAAGCATATGGCATTTTTAAATTATTTCCCGGTACAAATAAATATAAACAATAAATTTATATATATGTAAATAGCTTATAGGGAAAAACTATGACTTTAAACTTTGGAATAGCATTTGCGTAATCGAAAAAGCTAATAAATATGGATAAATACAACAAAACGGAACTTCCGTAAGTATATAGGAATGTCCAAATATGGAAATCAGAACCTTTACATATATCCCTCGACTGAGACATTTTGCCACTGGCCCTGAAATTAAATAGAGGATTAAAATTGGAAAAAATAAGAAAACTAATATTTTATCCCAGCAAGTGTTGTATCTTACCGCAATGCCGAGGTTCCATCCCACGCCAGCTGGATTCTCCTTTGTAATCCCGCACCGCCTGCAGATTATACCATTGAGGGAAATGGCCCACACCTCGGCACCCACGGAGACTGACCGGAAGCCACACTGCTGCTCCGTGTGCGGCGGCACATTGGCAGCATTGGGCAGAAACTGCCAGTGGGATCCTTCTGGAAAAGTCCTTGAGATCTCCTTTCGCACAGCCAAACGCTGCTGGTTGTCCAGCGCCCAAATCCCAGAGCGCCCAACGCTTATCGCCTTAAAGGTCACACCTGCAGGAGCCTCGACCTGCTGCCAGGCATCGCCGCAAGGATTCTGCCTACTGATTCCGTACCGGAAAAACACCATTCCATTGCGCGCCACAGTCCACACCTGCCCTGTGGGTCCCACGGTGATGCCTACGAGCGGCTGGTCGCTGGTGATGTGTTCCCAGGACTCTCCACGGGGATTCAAGCTGCACACCCCGTGCCGTATAAGGACATCACCATTGGAGGCGATGGCCCAAGCGGCAACCACTGTATTCTTCTCACCCGGACAACTATCCACATCTTCGTCCAATACCTGTTGGGAAACGAACTTGAATTGGTTGAAATAAATAAGTATTAAGTATAGAAAAACCTGTAGTGCGGCATCGAGTATCTTTGACTGGCTCAGCTCCTGCCAGGGTCCGCTGCTGCTGAGACGGCACCGCTTCATCCATCTACGCCGGCGTACGCAGTCCGTGAGCTTCTTGTGGGCATGATAGTTGGCGGGAAAGTCGATGGCATACTGCCAGCCTTCTTTGTCCGCGCCTCCCGGAATGTTATAGTCAATGGCCCAATCGGATATCCATTCGCAGTGCGTGGACAGCAGCTTGGTGTGCTCCTTGCTGCGCTTCTGCCGGCCAGTAGCATCGCTCCACATGTGCCGATCAGTGGGCAGACTCTTCGCAGTGAACCCACTGATCGGGTTCCAGCGCTGGTTTTCATACACATAGTAGGTGTGTGTGTCAATCATGGGGTTAATTTTCCCGGATCCCTCCAGGCCCTTTAAGAACATTCCGCCCCAGCCGCCGTTGTACACCCATCCGGTGTTGTCACAGGATATGCCCCAGATCACGTCTACGCCGCTATTGAATATCCGCTTGATGTGGCCACCCATTTGGCGCCAGTGCATCCGCTCCATGGAGACTATAAGCGAAGGACAGCGGTACAGCACGCTGAAGAGCTTAATGCGACCGCTTACATAAAGTCGGGTAACACTTTCTGGATCGATGCGGTATTTGTAGTCGGTGTAAACGGCATTGTTTACGATCATCAGGTAGTGGTCCTTTACAGCCCTGAAAGAATATGCATATATGAGGCACAAGTTTTCCATTTCATTTGGTGTAAATGTGTTAATTTTATTAATGACAATCTAGATTACACTTTCAAGCCTTTTTAACAATCAATAAATGTAATTTCCATTTAAGATATATTAAGAGATGGGATCTTGACTTCTCAGAATGTTAAAAATCAGTTATTGTAATAATAATGGTTGTCGTATCTCACCTAATCTTCAAAGTGAATGTAGCACCCGGAGCAAAAACCATTTTATCATTGCGAATCTCGTCCAGCCATTCAGACTCCTTCATCGAGTTCAGCACCGTGGTGCGCTCGTTAAAACGGGGATTAAGGTGCAGGGCAATCACTCGGTGCTTCTCCACCCGATGCGGATGCACTTTGACTGTGGAGTGCGATTGCAGGTCAAAGCGAATCTGATCAGCGTCATCATACACACAGCCGGATATCTCCAGTTCAGTGCCACAGGGCATTCTGTAAGACAAACATGAAACAGACCATGATAATGTATTTATATTTATATATTTAAAAAAACATTAAATGCATTATGATTTATTAAATAATCAGCTACAGAGTTAATTTATTATCTCAAATGAAAAAAATCCCAAATATAATGGACATATTTTTTATACCGAAAAAAACTTTTATACAAACTTATATTTTGCCAACTTCATAAAAGCGCAAATATATATGTATGTATGTATTACAGTTACCTTAATATTTTCCTGTGACTTTTTAAAACTTATTAAAACACCAAGTTTCCCTTAGCTAATAACAATAACATCCTATTGGATTAACATTAACAGGAAGTATCTTACACAGGTAAGTTATTACTTACCCATTGTAAAGAGTATTGTAGTAGGGGGTTTCGCAAGTGGACACGTCCATCTTCTCCATATATCCCTCACCGGGTTCGCTTGATTGCTGCGCCTTCATGTTGGCTGCGTCGAAAACAAACACATCGCCCAATTCGCTGGTCAGCCAGATTGCATTGCTGGCCGGCTTGCCAACCAGCGTGTTTATTTGGCTGCACACTGACGAAAGGTGGGACAACCAATCTTCCATCTCCGAATCGCTGGAGAACTGCAGCTTCACCGGCGAGCAATTTACAGGCAGGTGGGGTGCATGGATGGCGATCCGGGGAGCTCCTGCTTCACTGCAGCACTGCACACAGGTGATGTCTGATAACGGGAACTGAATTTTCGTGGCTGCCCCATCCGGACTGAGCACTGTAAAAGTGCCTGAGTCGCCGGAGCGCGAGGCTTCACTCCCACTCGTTCCATTGCCGCTGCTGACCCACTCAAGTTCGATAATGCAATCCTCGAACTCGCCTCCAGGTCGCTGATAGCGAGCATCCGCCGATTTTACCCACGAAGAAAGCTCTACTGCCTTCTCAAATTTGGCCAAAGTCTGCAGCTTGGCGAGTCTCTCCTGCCGGCTTTGTAGCTTGCTTAGAATATCCTTCCGCCAATTGGCATTCACATCCACTTTGCTGTCGCTGTTTGACTGTTCGTTGAACCAATTTGGCATGTTACTGGCATCTACGGTCACCGCACCCGGGGCAACGCAGCTCCACAATATGCCGCACTCTGTCCAGAACTGGGAGCCCGTATGGTCGTCATCCTCGCCCAGAAACACGTCCGATCCGTGGTGAGTGGAGTCCGATTCAAACACGGTCGAATCGCTCTCTGGATGCGCTTCGGTGCCCACAACGGAGCCAACACTTCGCACGGGCGACCAGGCCCTTGGATTCCGCAACTGTGTCTCGAACTTTCCGGTGATCTCCAACACATCCGCCGCGGGAGCACTGGATGCATGCGAGGTCTCGCGAAGAGCGGCAGTTCGCTGCTTATGGCGATCGTTCAGGTTCAAACTGCCAATGGTCGGAGGTGAATCCGCACTCAGTTTCCAACGTTCGTTCTTGAGAAGTCCAGGCGGGCCTCCATTACTGGAGCAGGAGCCCGTAGAACTGTTAAGCACGGTTTCTATAACGGCACACGTCTCCACAACGCCCTTTTCCTTTTCTTTGGAATACAGATTGGAGAAGCTTTGATGCTTTGAGCCCGGCGTTGAGCTGCTGCCCCCACTTTTGCGGGAGACAATGGATAGAGAGCTGGAAGTGCGGCTGATTTGCATAGGACACTGAATCAAACGCCACTTTTTACCCGTAGGATCGGCGGAAGTCACCCCTGAGCGGTGGTACAAACAACGGTCAGCGGCTCCAACGGCAAAGACCTGAAGGAGAAGATGTTTATAAGTAAGAAAAGCATAATAATCCACAGGTGACCTCACCTGATCATTGGCAGCCACAGAGATCATGGAGATGTTGCCCACCATTTCAACCCAGCCTTTGCCAATGGCCGAATCTTCGCTTATGCCCGCCGCCTCGCCCTTTATTCCCCTCCTGAACCAGGCATGATGATCGTTGGTCACACACCACACTGCATCGGTGCCCACGGAAACGTGAACGATGCGCAGGCTACAGGTGGCCACCGGGGTCTTGACATCCAGCCAGGAATCTCCAACGAGATTGTCTCGGGTCACACCAGTGCGGACAATAACCCGGCCGTTGTAGAGAACCGCCCAGACCAATCCTGTGGGTCCAACGCTGATCTGGGAGAGTTCGCTGCCCGTCGGGGTGGGCACGGCTGTCCAGCGGAGACCCTCTGGCGCTGTTTTGGACACCCCTGTGCGGAACATGGCCCTGCCATGAGCGGTGATGGCCCACACGCACAGAGTGCCAGCAGGAGCGTTAGGAACATAGGTGCCACCGATGGCCACGTCGATGAAGGGCTCCTGGGTAGGGTCCTTGTGCAGGGGGGCCACGGCGCACCAGCTGTTCAGGGCGGCGTACCTTCTATATCTCACCCACTTACGTCGCCGCACATAAGAGTTCCACGACTTCTTCACCGAATACGTGGCCGGGAAATCCAGAGCGTACATCCAACCATCCTCGGGCAGAGGCTGCCCATCGAGCTCCAGGTCTAGGTGCCAGTCACCGTCCC